GTTTACCACCTTATGTTTAATATTACCTTATATTTAATTTTTATTAAATTTATTAACTTTAGCTAACCTTAGCACTTATTTAATGCAAAGAGATTAATTAAATTTAATATTAATTAATGCTAACTACTCTTAATTACTTATTTTTAATTTATTTAATTAATTTAAAGGGGTTAATATAAGTATAATATTAATTTAAAATAAGTGATTTTTAATGGGAAATATGCATTTAGCATTAATTAATATTAATTACATTATTAAAAACGTAATTTATAGCAAATTAATTAAATATATATATTAGCACTAATTAATGCTAACTAATTTAAAGAAGATATAATTTATTTAAAATTTAATTAATTAAAGTTCTTTGCATTTTTCTTATAAGTTTTTATATTATGCTTAAGCTTGCCGTAATTACTATATCGTTAAATAATTAATTCGCTGCAAACCGCTTTCTTAGCATTACTGCTTATTTTATTAGCTAGCCGCTTCCCTTATTATTTCTTTTAAATAAGAATCCAAGATTTCTTAATAATAAGTGCTTTTTTAAGCTGCATTTAAGTTTTTTTAGCCCTTTAATATTTAGCAAATATTATATTAATATTTTTAAAAATATAAACCTAATCCTTTAAAAATATAATCTTACTTATTATTATTTATATACTTTTTATTATTTAATTAATAGCCTTTATAATTAATATAAGGAAGCTTTCTTAATAAGTAAAAATCTTACCCTTAATAAAACTTAATTGCTAAATAATTTATTAAGCATTTAATAATATTTAAAACTTTTATTTTTAAGGAAAAATAAAAAGAGATTATATTAAAGTTTATAAGTAAATATTAAGCTTAAAAATTATAAATTTAGGATTTTAAGAAGAAATTTTAGCTTCTTTAAATATAAATTTAATATTATCCTTTATAAAAGTTTTATTATAAGCTACCTTAAATGCAAAAAAGAACTTAAACTTAGTAATATAATTAATTAAGGCTTAAATAAAGAGATTAATTTTATTGCTATATATATACTTTAAGGGTAAATATAATATAATATTTAATAATTAAAGCAAGTAAAATAAATATAACGGCTTATTAATAATAATAATCTTATTATCCGTATAATATTAATTAAACTTAGTTAATATATAGCTTTTATAGCTATTTATAATTAATATTTAATAATTAATATTTTTCTTTAGCTTAATATGCTTATTAAAGTATTAAATTTATTTTAAATTAATTTTATTATTTATTTATTTATTAAAAGTAAGCTTAATAACTTAATTATTTAAAAAACTTAACTTTATTGCCTAGCTAGCAAGGTAATACGCGCCTTAAATAATTATAAATAATAGGATTTATAACCTATTTATATTAATGCATTTAATAACTATTACTTATTTTTAATTATTAAGTTAAATTAATTTAGCCTTTTTATATTTATTAATATATATAATAATTATAATTAAGATAATTATATTTATTATAAAGCTAATTTTATTAAAGTTATAAAGATTATTATTAATAATTTAATATTTAGTTATTATATTATAAAGCAGCTTAAATTAATTCTTAATAACTTTTAAATCTTTATAAAGGACCTTTTAATAATTATAAGGATAATTAAACTTAGTTTTTAAGCTAAGTTATATGTTTATAAAGTGTTAAGCTTAATGCTTACTTATAAGTTTAATATTATGCAATATTAGCAAAAGGTTAGCTATATTTTTTATATTAAAAAGTTATAAAGAAAATCCTTAAATATCTTGCTTAATAATATATTAAATAAGCATTTGCTTTTTAATTAAGTTAAGTTTATATTATTTAATATATAATTCTTTATTATTTTATTAATTATTTATTTTTTTATATAGGGTTTATTTAAGAATGTAATAAATTTATATAGCATAAGCAATACTTAAGGGTTTCTTATAATTTTTTTTAAAATTTTAAATAGCTTTAATAGCTAAAAGGATTTAAGATTTATTTAATAAGAGAGATATATATAGTTATTAATTCTTAGCGTATTAAATGTTTAAATAGGTAAAGTAATGCAAGATTAACGTGAAAAATGGAGATGTAATTTACATTAAAAATAAACCCGCTTATTAAAAGTTAATTACTTTAAACTTTAATGCAATTATATTAACCCCTTTAAATTAATAAAATTAATTGGAAATGAGTAATTAAGAGTAGTTGGTATTAATTAATGCTAAATTTAATAAATCTCTTTGCATTAAGTAGGTGCTAGGGTTAGCTAAAGTTAATAAATTTAATGAAAATTAAACACGAGGTGATATTAAATATAAGGTGGTAAACCACGTTAATATTAAAAAGGCTATTTTATATAAATTTTAATAACTTTTAATTATATTATATTATTATTAACCCCTTTAAATTAATTAAATTAATTAAAAATAAGAAATTTAAAATAATTAATATTACTTAATGTTAACTTTTATTAATTTTCTTATAATAAGTAAATATTAAAGTTAATTAAAGTTAAGTAAAGTTTAAAAAATTAGCAATTTATTAATATTAATTATTTATTAATAAATAATATTAATTTAATAAAAATTTATATTAAAATTAAAAAAAATTATTATAAAAAAGGAAAATAATATTTATTTATATTAAAAAATTATATTATATTTTAAATATTTAAAAGCATTATAAATATAGCTTATTTATAAATAAAAAAAATTAAATAAAAAAGAAAAGGGACGAAAAAAGATTTAAGTTTAATTATACTTTATTTTATAAATATATTGCTTTTATACTTTTTATATGCTATTTATACACTATATATTCCTAGTTACTCTGCTTGTATTCCACCACCCTTACACTTTTCTTTCCATTTAAGCGGCTTATTTACGGAAAATAATTTACTTTTACAACCCCCCTTTAGCTTAGGGGACTAATTCCTTTCTCATTTTCCATGGTATGCCTGTCCTCCTCATCATAAGTTGTCTCATTAATTCCGTGAAGTTCAAGTCTGCAATATTCTTTAACTGCCTCCTCGTTGATGACAAGCTAGTATGTATTATAACGCGCCCCACTAACTAGCTCATCTCCGATGCAACCCATCTCCTGGGCTGAGCACACATTTGTCGCGCGTTACCGACGACTCAACTGAAATCATACTATGGAGACAACAGTATGGGGACGACTTCCTCGGCCCTTGAATCTGTTCTAATTCTGCCAAATATGATGAGACCCCCTTAGTCGGACCGCTAGAGCCTGGTTTTAAGACAGGCCGAGTACCTTCGTGGCATGATCGGCTCAACACACCATGCTACCAATAGTCTCGGTCCTCTTGGTAGCATTTGCAGTGTGAAGACAGCCGAGTTTTAGTCATGGTAAGCGTCGACTCATGTCGTCCAAGTCAGTCGTGATAGCTAGTCGTCATTGTGCAGTCGAGGATTCAAGAACACTGGGAATTCTCTGCGGTCCCCTGGGCTCCGTACACGAAGCGTTGGACATTTATTCCAATGAAGCACCATTTATACCCAGGTTGAATGGGCCTAGAAAGGACATTGCATTTTCCCAGCCAGTATGTATTGCCGGCATTGATCCAAAGCCAGCCTCTTAAGGAGGCCATCACTGACAGGCAGCACGCAGGACATGTGGCAATGAATGGCCCCTCCCTTGAAAAGAACACACGAGCGCATTGCACCGCCAGTCCCCAACGTGACGAACGATTGCCGGACCTCCCTGGTCAGTTAGTTGGCGAGAGACGTCTGGAACTGGCTGCTAAAAGAAGTGTGTAAGTCCACACCAATCCGTGACTGCAAGTTGGTAGTGTAATAATCGCAAGCCCTGTTTTGGTAAGGTGGGGTCCCGATAGCTTATCAGTAAAGTCTCTGCCGCTGGGCCCACCCAGCCATCCGAACGTGGCTCATAGAGCCCCCGGAACGGCCGAGAATATCAACAGGTCCTCACACCGTAGTCGGATATGGTGTAATGGTTAACATCGGTGACTCTCACTCACCAGCTCGGGGTTCGATTCCCCGTATCCGAGGACGATCGTTTTGGCGGTTGCGCGGCCGGTCTGTTTTGCCCGGGACGAGCACACGCACAGCCTGAAGCATTCGGATCTGCCTCCCCGGTGTCAGGCCGGCCATCTATCTTTTCCTGGCGGCACAGGACACGCGGGTGTGTTTGGGTGTTGTTACTGTCACTTTCGATTCGCTCTTTCTTTCCCTTCCACGAGCTAGGAGCTGGTCCTTTTTCCTTTCGCTCACGACGCTGCCTCGCGGCACTTCGGCAAACGCCCACACAAAGGTCAACAGATAAACCTTACATAGCCAAGAAACTTCAGGAGGCAGAGCCCTCGCTTGCTTCCATGTCGGCAGTGAACATCCGGGCCAACCCTAACCCTCCGCGCTGGGCCCCCCTCCGCATTGTCGTGGCCCTGGAAAACGGAGACGACGAGGGTGGATCAGACGCGTAAGGACGGGCGTGGACCTCGAGAATTTGCGACGAAATCTCGGTTGTCCTATGCCAAGCACCGGACCGAAAGAATCTGCCAGGCTACTGGCTCGGAGCGCTCGTTAACACGATGTTGGCCCCAAAGCACACGACAATGGTGCAGGAAATCAGAACCACCCGCGGGGCACGTATCCACCTTGGCACTGCCATGCTGCTGCCATACCGGCGAGGGCCGCACCAAGTATCCTCTTATCTCGCCGGGCCGTTCTTCTCAACTATGAGCCTCTTGGACGCCAACAAGCTGTCAGGGCGAGATGAGGAGAGATCTACGCCCCGGGACTAGGCTCAACTGGACCTCGTCGACCTCCTGACCCTCCTCCTACGATGTACAACATTCGGGACCCCCTGAGTAAAAAATGGGTGCCCCCCCAGGTGACGCGCACGTCCACACATCATCGCACCCTCTGTTCATCCATGCGCTTGCCCGTCATGTCTTATCAACATAGCATCCCCTGTCCAGCGGCAGGGCAGTTCGAGGAGTCAGACCTCGCGCCCCGTTGCTTGTCGCAACCATGACTTCCTTGCTCACATGGCTGTGGCTCGCCCTTCTCACCACACCATGTCAGGGAGACTACATCTCGAGGGACTACCGACTTTACAACAGCGGAAAACTGGGCAACCGCCCCAACCTCAAGTTCCTCTCGAGCGACGAATTCTCACCTGTCCTGCAGGTAAACACGTGGAATGAAAGCGCCGTCTCTGACAAGGGGTCCCACATCTTCCTCCGACATGACGGTGTGCCGGCGTCGCCCCTGTCGTCCCCCCTGATCCTTGATGCTAGGGACCTGACCACGGTGTTTGTGAGCCGTAACTACGACAATGTCTTTGGCACCCGCATCCAGGAGAATCTTGGGAAGAGGTACCTGACTTTCTGGGCGGGCAAGAAGGGTTACGGCCGTGGGGATGGCTTCGGTCTCGTCTTTGATGACACCTATCGCCTGGCGCACAACGTCTCTACTCGAGGCATAGCTCTGCACAGCGACCTGCATGAGTTCGTGTTGACGGGCCGCGGGACGGCTATAGTCACCGGAGTCGACGACATTCTCGTTGACACGTCGGGGTGGGAGGACTGGCGGGGACCCGCCGAGTTCCCCGTCCTCAACGCACTCTTCCAGGAGATCGATCTTGAGACGAACGAGGTGCTCTTCAGCTGGCGGGCCCTCGACCACATCAGTCCCCTGGACTCTTTCGAGACCATGGCGAAGGATTGGGACGCCTTCCACCTGAACAGTGTCCAGAAGGTACTGCATCACCAGCGACCGTGAAGCGAATAGGGGCCGCATCAGCATCCATCTGAGAGGGCAGTATGCTGACACCCAATCTAGACCCGGGCAGGAAACTACCTGATCTCTATCCGCCACACAAGCTCGATCATGCTCATCGACGGAGAGACGGGCGATGTCATCTGGACGCTCGGCGGCAAACGCAACGACTTCATCGAACTCGATCCGGCCGAGGGGCTTGAATCTGCCAACCCCGTGCTCAGCATGGGCTGGCAACACCACGCCCGGTTCGTCCCCAACACCAACGAGACCGAGATGACCCTGTTCGACAACCACGTCAAGACCACCAGCCACGAGAGGTGCCGCTCCACCTGCTCGCGCGGCCTGCACATCGCCATCGACGACACCTCATCGCCACCTACCGTGCAGCTGCTGCGCGAGTACCTCCACCCGTCGCGCCTGCAGGCCCAGAGCCAGGGGAGCGTCCAGCCCCTCCCTGCCGCGGGCGACAAGACTGAGAACGTCTTCATAGGCTGGGGCCGCTGCCCATCCTTCACAGAGCACGCCGCATCCGGCGAGACAGTCATGGACGTCCAGTTCTCCCCGTGGCACGGCGACGAGACCCCCAACGCCCTGGACAACTACCGGGCGTACAAGATGGACTGGGTAGCCACCCCGTGGTGGGACCCGGCGCTCGCCGTGAGGGAGAGCCGTGAGGGCAAGCTCAGCGTCTACGTCAGCTGGAACGGGGCGACCGAGGTGCGTGGATGGGTTGTGCGCGGGGGTACGGGCGGTGAGCTGGCGAGGTCGCCGCGGACGGGCTTCGAGACGAGGCTGACTGTGAACGCCACCGGTATGCAACGCCTCTGGGCAGATGCGCTGGACAAGCAAGGGGCTGTCATCCGGTCGACGCAGGTTTTGGATCTGGTCCACGGGAACGTGACCCTCCTTGCGGACAGCACAGAGCCTGATTGGACATTTACCGAGGCGCGCACGAGCGCCGGGATCTCGGCGGGCACATGGGCCTCGATAGGCGGTGGCATACTGGGGATCGTGTTGTTGACGATGGGGGGCATGATGATCTGGCGGCGGCGGAGGGGCTATGATCGCTTGGGTGGTGATGATTCGGATCTGGACTCGGATACGGACGTGGACTCGGTCTTTGGGCTTGACCATTTCAGCAATGAGTTGCCCCCTGAACCCTGGCAGGAATACTCCCCGAGGTTTGGTGAACCGAGTTGAATACCAGAGATACTGAAGCAATAAGACAGTGTAATTGCAGTCTCGTGTCATTCTTGTCGATCTCTCGCGCTGACTGAGTCAAGAGAAGATCAGTTGATCTATTCCACTTGGATTGGAGGGGGCAAGAGAAAGCGATGTCAAGAGGAAGGGATGTACTGCTCGGCCGAGTGTTCACGCTCGTCCACCTAGAAGACATGTTTTCCTCAGCATCGAGTTGCCGCTTGCTCTCAGAGCCCCATCCTTTTCACCAGAGACATGTTCACGTCACAGCCGACCCGCGACCCTGCCCAGGAAAGATCCGCCCCCAAGAAAGATCCGCCCCCAAGAAAGATCCGCCCCCAAGAAGAGCCGAGACACCGGTGAAGACAATGAGAGCCCCGTACCCGCTGCCATACCCTGCACCGGCCTCTCCCAACCAGGGCCTGCCCTTGACAAGCACCTCGCTCAGTGGACCCGACACAACATTGCCGATCCCGCGGCCGGCGGCCAAAAGAACAAAGACCATGCTGGGGTCGATACTACGGCTTTGCCCGCCACTGTCCCCGCTGGCGGCGGTTGTGGAAGGCTACAAGTGCCGTGAGGGTTTGAAAGCATGATTGTAAAAGCGTTTATCTCCTAAGAGTAGTTTAAAAGGAGGAAACAAAAGAAATCCAGCTATTTAAGCATTTTAAAAAATGGTAATAAATTAAAGTTAGGGATATATATATAATATACCCCTTAATTAAAAAGTAATTCTTACCTTATTAATTATCTTACTTTTTTTAATAACTTATTTATATTTAAAAATATTAATTATACTTTATTAAATAATTAATTATTTAATCTTTTATATAATATATATTTTATTACTTAAACTTTAACTGCTTATAACCTTATAATATAACTTATAATTAATAAATAAACCTTATTTTTAAACTTTTTAATTAAATTTATATTTAAAAATATTTATTTTTATTAATTTTAAGTATTTTTTTAATATATATTTAAAAATAATTAAAAGCAATAAAAAATAAGCTTTTAAATAATAAGTTATTTAACTTTTTTATATCCTTAAAATTTAAAAAAAGAAATATAAATATAATTAAATTAATAAAAAGCTTATTAATAAAAATAATATTAAATAATATATTTAAGAATAAGTTTAATTAATTTAAAAATTAATTTTAAAGTATATATTAATTTTTAATATAGCTTTAAAAAATCTTTAAATATATATAAATAACTTAAAGCTTAAAATAAAATAGCTTTTTAAGAAAAAAGTTAAAATAAAGTATAAAAAAAAAGGATATTAAAAAGCTTAAAAAGATTAATAAACATTACATTCTTTATTTTCCTTATATTAAAAGCCTTATATATAATTATGATAATAATTTTTATATATATTATAATAATAAAGGTAATTATTATTATTATTATATTTAAGGTAATTTTTATAAGCTGCTTTTAATTTATCTTTTATTATTTATATTTTATCTTTATTATATTTAATTTAATAATTTCTTAATATTTATGAAATCTTAATATATTTAAAAGAAAGCCTTAAATATATATAAGCATAAGAAATTTAATTATATTTACTTTATTTATATTTTTATAATTTTATTTAATATTTAAAAGATTTTTATTTTATAATAATAGTTTTTAAAGGTTATAAAAAATAAATATAAGGATATAATAAAGTATTTTAAAGCTTAAATTATAATTACTTTAAAGTAATATAATAAAGTTAATATAAAGGCTTAAAAGCTTTAAAATTAAATTATTAATAACTTAATAATAATATAATTCTTATACTTTTTTATAATTTTTAAAATTAAGTTTTTTAATTTTAAGGATAATTTTAAGAAATAAATATTATTAAATTTTAATTTAAAATTATATTTAAGAATTTAATTAAAAATTAAAAAAGTTTTTTTTTAAAAAAATTAAGAAATTATTATAATAATTAAAAGAAGGTTTTAAATTAATTAATATATTATTATAAAGATTAAAAAGTAGTTTTTAATTATAAAATAGTTTTTATATAAGAGTTGCTTTATAATTTTTAAGAAATATAATTTTTAAATTTTTTATTAAAAACTTAATAATAAAAATAATTAATAAATAAATTAATTCTTTTTTATTAATTTTTTTATATTTTAAAGATTTAAAAAAGCTTTAAAATATTTAAATTAAGCATATAATAAAACTTTAATAAATTTATTTATAAATATTATTTTAATTTTTAAGTATATTGTTAGTACTTGCTATAGGTTGGAAATAAAAGTTTATTCTTTTTTAAAGAGGTATTAAAGAAAGTATTACCATGATATGGTAATTTATATTACTAAAGTATGGTGGGGAAATTTGTATGCTTTCTTTAAATTAGCTATTTATCATGCTATAGTGAACTACCATATTATGGTGGTATGCTATGGGCTTAATAATTCCCTCTTTAAATAAAAGTATTTTCCTTTAAGAAATCAAAGGGAAGTGCATTTATTATGTTAAGGTGGTTAAACACCTTATATAGTTAATGTTAAAGTGCAATACCATATATTAAACGTATCCATAATATATAGGTGGTTGCATACCATGCTTATTATGGTAGGAAAAGCCTAGTGAGGTGTTGCCATTTGCATTTAATGGAAGCGCGTTAATGCAGCGCGTTTATAATAACAAAGCCATTATATCTATGCATCTTAAATGCGCATTAAATTAATTATAATAAAGGTATAATTTAAATAAGTTAATAATAAGGTTTATTCTTATATATGCATATTAATGGAAATTAAGGAATTTATAAAAAGTTTTTTGTATTATAGTGATAATTTATGGTATAGTGGTATAAGGGATGGTAATATGGATTATATTAAGTGTATTAATAATAAATTGCATTAAGCTGCTTAAATATAAGTGTTATTTTATTTATATAATGGAAAAGTTATATAATATTAATGCACTTAAAGTTTATAATCTTGCTAATATAATGTAATAGTAATATTTATGCTTAGCTTATTATCTTATAAATATTGCGTTAATGCTTCTTGCATTACTTAGCTTTCTCCTTTTTAATATACTTCTTAGTGCTTATTTATCCTATTAGGTTAGGTAGCGGTATAATATTATTTTCCTTATTATTATTGCTAAACTATTCCTTTTCTTTATTATTATTAATAATATTGCTGCTATTAATTAATAGATATCATTATTTTAATAAAGTATGAGTAAAATTATAATTATTATTAAGGGAGCCTTTATAATAAGGGAAGTACTTAGCTATATTAAATTTATTATTAATTATTTAAACTTACATGCTATTAATAATAAATTACGCTTTTATAATAATTAAATTATATTTAATAAGGCAGTTATTAATTCCTATTATTATAAAGTAGCGAATTAACTGCTTTTTAATAATGCAATATATAATGATAAGTTAAAGGGCAGCTATGTTAATTAATTAGCGATAAATATCTTTTATTTTAATTATTTATTTCTTAGTAATAACCTTATTTATTACGGCAAGGTTATAAATAAAGGGGCGGAATTAATTGCAAATGCTTAATATAATAGTAATAAAATTAAAGTTAATAATGCAAAACTCCTTTTAATTAATATTTAAAAGGAGCTTATTAAAAATAATTTAAATAATAAAGATAAATTTAAATAAAATAAACTAAGTAATTAAAAAGTTAATAAAATAGCTAAATGCATATTGCATACTTATTACTTTATTTATAATATTATAAATAACCTTTATCTTAATAAGGGTATTTCCATCCTTTAAGCCATAAAAGATATAAATAAGCTACTTATACTTATTTTAAGCTCTTTTTAATTTAAAAATTTAAATAGCTTAATGGTTAATAAGCTTTTTATATTTAATAAAATCTTTAATTAATTAATTATAGCTAACCTTTAGCAGCTTATAATAATAAGTGCCCTTAACTTAACGCGGCTTATCCTTATTTAAAATAATTAAGTTAATATTAATAATAAAATTTAATAACTTTATAAGAAACTTAAGCTTAACCTAAAGTGCCTTAATACAAGGGAAGCAATTACGTACTATAAGCGGGAAATTAATAGCATAATTAAAAAGGGAGTTTTTTTATATAAATAAGGATTAATTAGCATGCTTTTTTAAATAAAGCAAGTAATCCTTAGTGAAAAGCAATGCATTATAATTAATAATCATTACTTTAATTTAGCTAAGCTTAATATTATTAATTATAATTTTAAGGTTATTACTTAGGGTTTTCTCTTTTTAAGTAAACTAGCTAATAATATTGCGGCTTTAATTTAAAGTAAACTTATAGCTTAATAATATAGTATTATTATTAAGGTTGCATGAATTATTTTTAATATAGTTAAAAACCTTTAAGTTAAGCTACTTATTAAAATTAATGCTAAATAAACTCTTTATTATAAAGTAATAAATACTTTCGCGATAAGAGCGCGATAAGGTTTTAATAAGGTAATTATTATTATTGCTATTAAAGCATATAAAAGTGGTTAAAGGCAGGGCTTTGCTTTTGCAATAAGTATATATGGCTTAGGCGCTATTATTTAAGGAATAATTGCTTATGATATTAAAGGATATAGGGGATAATAAAGGTTTATTATCTTAATTATATATTAGGTATGTTAATAATATATATTAGGAGTTAATAGAGGAATTAAGTAAATTTATAATATTTGCGCTTTTTATAGCCTTTTTATTAATTTTTAAGTTATTTATTTAAATTATTAAATGTAAGTAAAAGTTTATAATGTTTTTATGTTATTTATAGTAAATCTAAGGTAATTATAAGTATTTAATTAAAAGGTATTAAGCTTTCTTCTTATTAATAGCTATAAAGTTATTAATCTTAAAAAGCTTTATTTTAAGGACTTAAATAATAAACTTTTAAATATATTCTTTAGCATTAAGAATGCCTTTCTTTTTTAAGAGGGATAGTTAATGCTTAATTATATTATAATAAGTTTCTTAAAACCTTTTAATTTTAGGCTTAATT